AAGTATTTGTTCGAAATAAGTATTCGTAAAAAACACATTATTTGTGCCTTTCCGAATACCGTATTCGGGTTCGGCTCCACCCCTAGTGGAAAGTGTGGGTGGAGTGCGGAAGAAACACTGAAGAAGCATGGCTGGGGTTTGGGAGAAGGTGGGAAAAGGTGAGGAATAAGTCAGGAAAAGGCAGGAAGAAACCAAGAAAAAGCAAAGCTACAAGAAGCCAGGAAGGTTCTCCTACCAACTAGGCAGCAGGAAAGGCAAGCGATGGCCTTGGACTGGATCACAAGGACGCTGGATCCATTCATAATTTGATATGGAATGTTCTGGAGAGGTGTTAAAGAGTAACTAGACAGCTGGCCAGGTCAATGTGTTTTAGCACGTCAAACTGCAGGTCACACACTTATTAAGATCTGAGCAAGAACAGGGTGTATTTTATTAAATTTCTTGGTAATGGCGAAGATGAAACAGATTAAGCACGCTTTACTGGTTATTCATTTTTAAAATTACACCTGTCCAAACAGCCAGTCTGCCAGTTTATCTGGTCTGCATACAGACTCTGTCATTACATAATGGCTGCGACAAGAGATGCAAGGGAACGCAATGTTCTACTTCGAGACTTACTCAGTTTTAATCAGTACAGTAGCATGATGCCCGACATCCCATCCAGAGTGTCCCTCCATTCTGTGTGCTCTGGGTTATGCTGCAGGTTCACTGCAATCCTGTAAAGATTAATAATCAGTATGGAATATGGATGGGGAAAAAAATTCACATCCAGCTGTCCATTCACAATAACCATTTGAATCTTGCAGTGAACATCACATTTATGTTTCTTACATCACTCTTTCACTGTTGGTGTACAGGTATCTTTTTCAAATCCCACATACTCCCAGTTATGGGAGACTGTGACGATTCATAGGTATAAGTCGATTACCCGTCTCGAAAACAGAAGCCTTGAATTCATCCGGCCCAAAAGTTCATAAATGTAAACCCTGACCTTGACCCGAAATGCCATTAAGCATCGAGCTGGAGCAGGCAAGTCATAAAACGTAAAGCTAATGTACTGAAACAGACCCAGAAAGACAGCGTTTAAACCTTTAAGGCATTAAAATATACAGATCTTTATAAATGATTGCACTAAAAACTCTGACCACATCAGCTAAATGGATTATAAATTTAAGACATTTCCATAATGTATGCATCTTAAACACACAGCGGAGCATAAATCAAGGTATTTTCTAAACACAGGTTAATTATGCAACTCCAAACACAGTCTATTTTTTATGCAAAATAATCCACTTAGTTTTTTTATTTTTTTATTTAAGGCAGCCCTAATTCCTTGGGTACAGACAGCATTTGCCCTGCTGGAACGTATCAATAACACAGAGGCACAATGGAATGGCAACGGGTACGCTGGGGGGCTGGGGGGGGGGACTTTGGCACATTTCTCAAAAGCCCATTATTTATGAGTGTTTATTGCCAGAAATTGTGCCAAAATGGCTCGAAATAAAAAGGATTAATTATGCGTCGGGCCTTTTAATATAAGTGAGTGCCGTGGCAACGCGATTAATGCAAATCGCTGGGCATCGGGAGAATAAGCGTGGACGACATCACAGGTGGCGTCTGTTAGCTGCCAAATAAATTAGTTAATTTACAACATTAAGAATCAATAAAAATATAATGCTTTTCGAACACATCTCCATCAATTACGGGAGGGGAAAAAAAGAACTTTCCGGATAAAGGCCACACGGCGCCTTGGGGACCGGCTCGAGGACGACTGCCATGATCCTGAAGGTTAACGCCACGCCAGGGGCGCTCCTGGGCATCGCGCTGGCATCCGGAGCACATTCTTTCTCCTTATTTAATCCCTGGCAGAGGAGGCTGGGACCATCAGCTATGAGGCACACTGACAGGTGGCCAATCACAGGGCTGGCCATCATCACATGACTCGTACCCAGGTCCGCTCCACGTGCTCAGGCAAAGAGTTCTGGGAGAACCTTCACATTAACTGCACCTTGATAATGCCTTTATAAATCATTCATAGAACATCAGTGCACCTTCATAATCCATTCATAGAAGATTCATAAACAGCATATCTTAACATGTCTGAATGCATTGTGTTCATAACACTTTCAATGAACAAGATAAGGCAGCTTTAATATACATTAACAAGCATTATTTGATTATATGATTATAATGTTTGTTATTAATGTATATTACAGCTATCATAACTTGTTAAATAAAAGTATCATGAATGCAATGTAAGATATGTTAAGGTATACTTACATACTGCTTATGAATCTTCTATGAATGCATTATAAAAGCATTATGAAGGTATACTAAATGTTCTATGAATGCAATATGAAGGTAATGTAAAGCCTAACCAGGTTTTACCATGGATGGATGGATTAAGCAGTTACGGTGATGGATGGTGATGAATGGTGGTGAATGGTGGTGGGTGCTGTTCACCAAATAACTTTGTCAGACCACTTAACACTTGTGTAGTTATGGTCTCAAAATTGGTGGAGACCACATCAGTCCAGACACCCCCCACCTCAAAACACAAACAGCACTCCTACAATATTGCTAAGGACATGTCCCAACCCTCCATACCCAAATCTACGCCCTTGGTAAGCATTATTGACTGACGCAGAACAATATGGAGAAATGGAAGGATAACGTTACAACCAGGTAGGTCATGGACAGAAACATACAACCAAATTAATTTATAGCAATAGCATTTAGCATTTTCAGGTCTCATTTCCCTACCATAAAATAAAGCCCAATGGGTCAGAACAGGAGGAGTATCCCTAAGTTGGCCACAGTGTGTGAGGCAGTGTGTTTGCCCTACGGCTGACTGGTATCCATTCCAGGGTATCCTCTGCCTTTGTCCTGTGCTTACTGGGATTGAATCCAGACTCATTGTGACCCTGGATGAGCAGTTATGGATGGATGGATATATGGATGGATGGACAGAGAGGAAGAATTAAAAACGAAAAGAATGAAGTCAGTAGCATTAGCATAGGCCTAAAGTCAATGCATGGCAACAAGGTGAAAAACTAGAGTCACTAGATTTGCAGGGTTTTCCACTGCTTACAAGTGCCAGATACGTCAATGCAATTCATCAGACTATAGTTAGCCAGCCAATATCCCAAGGAGTGTTATATAGCTTATTGCATTGTTACTAATAGGCTATAGTAAGCTAGAAAGACATGGTATTTACATTTCTGTAGTCCTTCAACTTCTAACTTGGCTTTTATATAACTATAAATAAAACTGGCTGCCAAATGAATACACAGCAAAGACCAATATCCTTTTTTCAAGGCCAATAATGCAATCACAGTGACTACAGACACAATTTAGGGAATGACACTTTGTTGCTATTTATTCCACTCGATGGCTTTCAATCTTTTTCACCGACGGACAACACTCCACTCTTTTATGGGAACTTAAAATGAAAGAAATTATAAAATCATTTCGGAAGAAAAAATATGAGTCTCTCTGAATGTTCGATTATTCCGCCCGCAACACGCTTAAGCACAGGGGCCGCTCTTAACCGTAATCCATTATCCCAATAATAGGGGACGTGCACCATTAACCGAGAAATTAATCTCGGTCAGCTCGCGCCGGGCGTCCGTATGGACGTGATGACGTAACCGTCGTTTATAACCCATCCGTTTATTTGGGAAGGGTTATAAACAAATATCAATATGCTGCGTAAATGACTACTCCGCCGGTATTTATGGTATACGGGGTCTTAAAGCAGGGTTAATTGAAAGTCAAATTCAAATTAATTTCCCACCTTAATTGCCTAAACCATTTAGCGGGGATTGCCGGCGGACGCTGGACTTACCATTTTTCAAGATCGGACACGGGGAGCGGTACGGGATGCAAATTACGGCCGTCTCCCAATTCCAGTGCATTGTCTTGGATGATGTTGGATGCTTCTGACTGTAAAACAGATCAAAAGGCTATTACCGTGCGCTTTGACTGCTTATTTATGTCTTGCACGGCCAGCTGATTTAGCGCTAGTGAGATGCGTTCGCTAACACAAACAGGAGGCAGACATCATCCGCTAATGGAGCGCCTGATGGAGGAGCGACCGGCGTCAGGAGGCAATCCCTCTCTCCGTGCGATGACCTCTCTCCGGGGCATCGCGATAAACAACTGGCGCGGAAACATCGGGGGTGCAGTCCAAAGCTAGCCAAACAAATCCAATCAACAGATTACATGTTGTCCTAATAACTGAACCGTGCGCGTTGCGCATCCCACCCCATTATTTTGGATTCATGGTTTTTATAAGTACACTTAAGTAAATCAAGCAGGTGTATTTTTAACATAATGAATTTTTTTTCTTTTTATATTAATGGCGAGAAAAATTATAGCAAACTTTTCACAGGTTTAGTTTCCTTATACCTGGCCATAAAACAATGACCAACGAGCATCCGGTAGGGGCAGATATTTTTGCCTTCCTTTCAACGGTTGTTGTACCTTTAAATGGGACAGTAAACCCCTACTTAAGAAGAAAACGTGTAATGGAGTGCTATCGGTATTATCTTCATAACTCAACATATTTAAAATGATGTCACAAAGAAACATATAAGAAATTACCTGTTACTAGTAATATTTCCATCGTGTAATTAAAAGACAGAGAGAAAAAGTAGTCCACGTACACGCTGTATTTCTTTAAAACATTGGGGGAATAAAACACGTGCTTTAAAAAAATAAAACGAGTGCCATCCTTTCCCGTTTACGAGGGTGACCTTTTAAACTTCTGACACCAAGGTTCCACTAGGGTGCAGCAGAGAGCTCTGGCGGGCGCCTATTATCAGGTCCGATTCTGGTGGCTAGATATGGGATAATTCATAACAAGAACATTAAATACATTTACGATAAATGTAATTTCCAATAATTATTATTATTGTCATAATTCTACTTAATACATGTACCAGGGCTAAGGGAAAAAAATTCCACCCCTTATGCTTTCAGTAATAAATCACTTTTCAACAATACACACCTGTGCTCTGTCAAAGGAATAGGTTGTGCCTTATCACCCACCACTGAACACCTTCTCAATTTTTATTTCCTTATGACTGCGCATTATTGTCACACTGTGTGTAATCTATCTGCCGGCACGGGTGTCGTTCAGTCCGATCACTTGGGACTATAGCCCCGAGTATTTTATCCCCAGTGCCAGTTGTCCTCCAAAAACATAAACATGTAAAGCCCGGGGTAAGCCTGAGTTAGCCCCTGGTCTTCTCAACAGCTAGAAACCGCGCTGGCTGCCGGGATAAGCAGTCATAACACGAAGCTTATGGACTGCAGCTGTTACATGAGTCGGGGGTGAAGAAGCGGCAGCGGACTAGGATCTTCACCGTCATTATTTCGACATTGTTCTGCAAGGGTGGGGGGAGGGTTTTGTGTATCTTCACTGTTGCCTGAGTCTATGGCAAGTGGGACGGCGTTCATCTTTCTGTGTTTCCTTGTTGGTCCTTCACCTTCTCTAAGCGGCTGCGTTTCCTGGCCTGCTGGCATTTTGCCTGCAAACTCAACAAAGGCAACGTTAAAATCATCTAAGTGAGGAACCGAAGCGGGTCGACATCCTGGGGTGTATTTGGATGGGTCTCCTCCCGTAACTCAGCTTAGCCCCTACTGTATGCCCTGTGATAGGCCAGCATCCCATCCAGAGCGTACCCAGTGCTTCATGGGATAACTCACCTTGACCTTGGTCTGCATAAGCAGCTATGGAAGATGGACAGACCGACGTCTGCTGGTGACAGCTGGGTGCTTTATCACCGTGGTTCGTTTACAGTAAATGACCTGCTAGCGTCCTGTCATCACCTGCAGCACAGAGTCACTCCAGATTGGTTTATTTTTCTTCAGCCGAGTCATTCAATCACACAGCCAACACTGACCCGCAGAATATTTAAATAGAAGTGCACCAAAGGTCACATTTCAGCTTAACGAATCGTCGGTCATAAATCATGTCCACTATAACAAGGCATTCATACAGTATATGAGATGGAAGTATGGATCTCAGTTTCATAACAACCAAAATTCCAAAACTCTGCCATGCTTATTAATCAAAATCCGTTTCATATATTCATGTCCATCAAAACTAACCAATTGACACAGCAGTTTATAAGATTCCATTTAATAATAATAACGGTCATCACGGTTATGAATGACTAAGTGTCAACTGCCATTATAATAACCACAATCTTTTTTTGTGTTGCCCGTGCAATTAAATTAAGTTAGAATACAGTCTAGAATTAGCATTTTTTTTCTTGTTTACAAAGGAATCCTTGGAAGGATTCTCAGAAAACACAATATGAAGTCTTATCACACCCATTCTCATAAGTGAGAGTATGACGTTGAATTACGATAATGACCCTGATTTATCGTCTCTGACGGCGCTTAATCAAGCCCCTTTGGACGCAGGAAAAGCTACCAAATGATTTCACTGGCAAGTGGGGGAAACAAACTTGGGGGGGGGGGGGCTTTTTTTTGGGAGAGGGCCCATCATCTCCGCCCTAACAATGCTGAGCCCCTTCTTGGTGACATTGTGGAGATCGCTGATCCTCTCAGGTGTCCTGCTGGTTGGGCTCTCAACTGGGCCGTACAGAAACATCTGCAGCAGCTCAATCTGGGGACCTAGAAACTGGTTTCCCAACTGAAGTAGTCGTAAATTCCTGGAAAAACCCAGGTGTCGTTCTGTGGAAATCTGCATGTCGAAATCTGACATACAGCAGCGGAACATTCGGATGCATAATGGACTTTGAAACGTTTGGAAAAGTGACACGCGCTACGCAACAAAACCATAAATGTAGGCTGTGACTGCAAAGCCCTTGCATTTGAATTGATGAGCATTGGGCATTTCAGGTCCAGAAACTACAAATGCAGGTTTTGTTTCTATCAGCCAGTCGAGTACTCTGTGACTGTGACTCTTTATGCTGAACTGGTTGGTAGAAACAAAAACTTGGTCTGGATTTGTAGTTTCTGGACCTGAAATGCCCAACACTGCTGATGGGAGTGTGTCAGAAGACCTCCATCAGCCATAGCTGCTTGGGTAGTGCTGGACTGAGGTAAGCCTGAACTAAACTGCATATCTTAGAAAAGTGTCTTTCATACTGGTCCATGTTTTTGCTCCCTCCCAGCTCCCAGCCAGACAGTTCACATTTTTTGCTATCAAAAACATGGACTCGGGGGTCCCCAAGCACTGGTTTGAGAAACACTGTCTTAGTGGGAGGAACTCCATGCCAACACAGGGAGGGCGTGCGGAGTCGCACAGAGCCAGGACTCGGAGCGCTAAGGCTGGAAGCGTAAGGCTGCAATGCTGCCCAAGGAGCCACCATGCCACCAAGGTCATTGTGATGTATGTGAATAATATGTTTAAGTAGCTGCGTGTTGGACGTATGGGCATCACACCAACCCCGGTACTACAGCTGATGGTGGGGGGGGGGCTTATATACTTAACCTCGATGACTGCTTATACGCAGGCCATTTAAGGGCACTCAGACCCCCCCTCAGAGTTGCTGATTTCTCCCCATTACACACACACACACACACGCCACATATTATTAATAAACTTAGCCGGGGAAGCATGTGATCACGAGTCGGTCACCACCTTCATTAATCCTCCCTTTATTTTATAGTAAACAGCTTCCAAAGTGGTGGAGATGAACCAGCCCCCCCCCCCCCCCCCCCCCCCCCCCCCCCCCCCCCCTCCACACACACACGCCCCATCACAACTAGAGCTCAATTATTCTGGTCAATTAGTCAACCCGACTGGCATTTCTCTATCAAGTTTCCATCTCTGAGTGGAAATATGGGCCTTGGCGGTCAATATGGGGGGGTATCCATCAGCGGGGGAGGGGGAGGCTCGTTCATTTAGGCGAATGAGAAAGGGCAGGCAAACACGCAGCCATATGGACCCTGACGGCACTTTTCAGGCTAATTGGATTAATCCCAAGCAGTGAGGTGGAGGGGGGGGGGGGCAAACAGACTCTGATCCTCACTTGTTTTCACACCCCCCAGCGGCCACGGCCTGCCACCCTGACACCCGCTGGGACACAGCTCCACCCGGGCTCCGGTTCCGATGCCCCCCAGCCCTAACCCTCATGCCCCCCAGCCCTAACCCTCATCCAGTATGAAAACATTCGCATTCTACTTATTTCCCAGATGCTTTTACCCAATCAAACGTACACATGAGGCAGCAAGGTCAGCCAGGCCCCGGCACGACTGGGGTTAAGGGCCTCGCTCAGGGGCCAAACAGCCAGGTTACTCTGTCGACAGTGGGAGCTGAAGTGGTCACCCTTCCAACCAGAAACAGCACCATAACCCACTGAGCCACATGTTAAATCCTCCCCCCTCAGCTGCTTATCGAAACACAAGCATCCTTGTGAACATGGCAACCCTCCCCTGGCGTTTAGGACCAGAAACGGAAGAAGATGTGAAAAATATTACATTAAACACAGATTTTTCTTTTCTTTAAAGGGGCAGTTCACCCCAAAACCCAAAAAGGCACGTTTTAGAAGGGCTTTAGCACCATCTATCCATCCTAGGTTATCACTGCGCAGAAGAGACGAGCATGAACACTCTGGCGATACCTTCTGCAGTGACACGATTGGTGTGTGGGGTTCAACAGAAGAAACTGGATCCCACATTAAACTGCTGACTACAAAGTCTGTGGATTATCTTGAGTATCCGGGTCATGATACTTGGTGTTGAGTTTTTCAAATGTATTTTTGGTGCTTAATTACAACAGAAAGAATGCCATTCACTACCATTATATTCAAGAAAAGATTGACACTGATGGGCTGAATGGCCACCTCTTGTTTGTAAATTTCTTATGTTCTTATTTCTATGGCCGATTTCTCCAAAACTAAGCAACTCCCAGCAAAACACCCTAGACCAGGGGTGGCCAATCTTATCCGCAAAGGGCCGGTGTT